GAAATCCATATTTGTGCCCATTCCAAAGAAAGGTGACCCAACAGAATGCAGAACTCATTGAACAATATCATTATTGTTACATGCAAGTAAAAATTTTGCTGAGGGTAACTCAAAACAGTTGCAGTAGTACATCTACAGGCAGCTGCTAGAAATTTAAGCAAATTCAGAAAAGGACATTTAACAAAGGAAAACATTATTGATGTCAGATAGATCTTCACTGAAAGCAGAAATTACGCTAAAGATGTTTACTTGTGTTTTATTGACTGTGCAAAGGCTTTCAACTATGTAAACCATAACTCTGAATAACATTGTGAGCAATGGGAATTCCAGGAATTCCTCATTGCTCTTGAGTAATCTGTATTGACCAAGAGGCAGTCATGAACAAAACAAACCAACAAAATACTGAATGCTGTAAAATCAGGAAAGTGGGTCAGGATTCTATCCTTTTACCATACTTTTTCAGTCTGTATACTAAACAAATAACCTGAGAAGCTGGACTATATGAAGAAGAATGCAACTTCAGATTTGCAGGAGGCCTCATTAACAGCCTAGAATATGCAGATGACACAACAACCTTACCTGCTGAAAGTGAACAGGACTTGAAGCACTGGCTGATGAAGATCAAAGCATACAGCCTTCAGTATGAATAACATCTCAATGTAAAGAAAACAAAATCCTCATCACTGGGCCAGTAAAAGACATCAAGATAAATGGAGAAAAGATTGAAGTTGTCAAAGATTTCATTTTGCTTGGATCAACCATGGAAGCAGAAGGCAAGAAATCAAATGATATATTGCATTAGGTAAATCTGTTGCAAAAACCTTTTCAAAGTGTTCACGAGCAAAAATGTCAGTTTGGGGACTAAGGTGCCTCTGACCCAGTACATAGTTTTTTGTTTTTTTTTTTTTTACAACCTTGCATGCATGTGAAAGTTGGACAATGAATAAGACAGACCATAGAAGAATTGATGCATTTGAGTTAGATACAGTGTTAGAGAAAAATATTAAAAGTACTATGGACTCCCAGAAAAACAAGCAAATCTGTATTGGAAGAACAGCCAGAATGTTCCTTAGAAGCAATGATGGCCAGACTTCATCTCTTATATTTCAGACATATTAGGAAGGACCAGTCCCTGGAGAACCATGCTTGGTAAAGTGGAGGGTTAGCAAAAAAGAGGAAGACCTTTAGCAAGATGGAGTGGCAGCAGCAATGGGCTCAAACATAGCAACAATTGTGAGGTTGACACAGGGACAGGCAGTGTTTCACTCTGTTGTGCATAAGGTCCCTATGAGTCAGCACTGACTCAACTGCACCTTACAACAACAAAGCCAGAAGAACAAATAAATCTTTGTTGGAAGTACACCTAGAATGCTCCTTAGAAGTGAGGCTGGCAAGAGTTTGTCGTATGTATTCTGGACATAGTAGCAGGAGGGACAAATCCCATATTTGGTAAAGTAGAGGGTCAGTGAAAAAGAGGACGTTCCTGATGAAATAGATTTACACAGTGCAACAACAATGGATTCAAACATAGCAACAATTGTAAGGATAGCACCAGACTGGGCATTGTTTTGCTCTATTGTATATAAGGTTGCTGTGAGTCAGAATCAACTTGACAACACCTAACAACAACAACAGCATGATTTTGTAGCAATATGTTTTTACTTACCCTTGAATGTCATCTTTCTAAACTCCATACAAAGAAATAATATGAAGATAAAAAGCATCCATGAAAGAGTTCAAAAGAACTGTGAGATTGAAATTGTGGAATTGCTTTTCTAAATTTATAATTCCTTAAATAAGGATTCCACAAGGTTTCTTAGGAGCTTGACTTTTAACCAGATAAGCTAGAAAACTACATAAAAAATAATAAGAGTAATGTAACAAGCAAGTAAATGTAACATACTTGGGGAAAGGCTGTATGATTTCTATTAAGTGTGGTGGCATTTTTTGAACATAGACAATGTTCCTTGATGGTTTTAACACATGTGACTTAAAAGATAATTGTTATTTTTATTAAGTGCCCTTGAGTTGGTTCCAATTCATAATGAAACCCTGTATAGGGTTTCCCAGGAGCAGCTGTTGGGTTTGAACCTTGTGTTTAGCAGTCCTGTGCTTATCCTGTGCACCGCACCAGGACTCCTAAAATACAGTAAGATAGTTAAGTGGCTTAATTTCCTAGGGCTGCCATAATACCATAAAGCCAATATAAAGAACAAAAATGTTTTGTCTCATAGTTCTGAGGGCTAGAAATTCAAATGAAGGGCATAGGTAGGGCTCTGCCTCTCTGTTGGCTTTAGGGGAGATTCTTCTCTCTCTCTTTCAGCTTCCTTAGCCTTGGGTGCTTCTTGGTATCCCTTGGTTTGTAGATAGATCCTCACAGGTTGTCTTTACTTACTCTGTCTGATCCTTTCTCTGTGTCTGTTCTCCTTAGAGGGATTAGAAATCAGACTAGCTCCACTTCTGTGTTGCACAAGGTCACATTCATAGATACAGGGATTAGGACTTTCGCTTATCTTTTTGGATATGACATAATTTAATCCATAACAATAAGAAGAATGCAGTAATTTGGAGATGGTACAAAGAAGAGCAATGAAGATAATCAAGAGAATAAAGATAGACAGAAAATAAAGATTTTTCTATCTCAAAATATATATGTCAAAAGCTTTAAAATGCTTTGATGAATCCATCTATTGATTGATTTCATTCTGTAAACATGTCTTTTTCTGTGCCAGGTTCTATATTCAACCATACTGTTCCCTTAAATGAAGTCCTGGTGTGGCACTATGGGTTAATGTGCCAGACTGCAAAGCCGTTTGAACTGCAAGGTTGGTGGTTCAAGCTCACCAGCTGCTCCTCAGAAACCCTATACAGGGTCACTAAGGGTTGAAACTGACTCAACGGCACTTAACAACAACAACAAAATTCCTTTAAATCTGAGAAAGAAAGTTTAGGGAGGATTTATTGAAGCTTAAAACACAAATTTTAGAAGCAAATAAAGCCCAGAGTTAATCTGCACATTATGCTGTATGATTAAAAATCAAATGCTGCTGTTGTTAAGTACCATTGAGTCGGTTCTGACCAATAGTGACCCTACATAGAGTTCCTGAGAAGTGGCTGGTGAGTGAATTGCCAACATTGCATTTCAAACTGACCTTGCAGTCCAGTACATTATCCTGCAGTGCTACACCAGGATTCAAACAGGCTCAAGAACTGTCTAGTTTAAACCAATGGCAGCTGTATAAATGACACATGCATAAATGTTTTTTAAAAGAAAAGTAGAAATGCTTGCAGAAAGATCCTTCAACATTAAAAGTAAATTTTCAGGATGGTAGGTTTGCATTTGCCTATGAGACACTCCCTTGGAACCACTGACAAACTGAATGTCATTGTCAGACAATAATTCTAAACCTGAGTAACATAATCTGTTTATGCTCCTTATACAATCATTACTGCTGATAGTGTTCGTGAATTAATCATTGTTTAAAAAATACTTCATTTTAGTTTCTGTAACTGTCTTTAGTCGTTGGATTAGTTGTTGTAACCACTAGCTCTTGAAATGTGACTAGTTCAAATTGTCATATTCTAATAGTAGTGTCCTGGTATGGCTCTGTGGGATAAGCACTAGACTGCTAACCACAGGTTGGCCATTCAAACTGCCAGCTGCTCCTTGGAAACCCTATACAGGGTTGCTATGAGTCAGAACCGATTCAATGGTTCTTAACAACAACAACATAAATGTGAAATTCATATTGGATTTCTAACATTTAGTAAGAAAAAATCAGTACAGTATCTCACTGGTTTTATGTTTATTACATGTTGAAATGATATTTCAGAAATGTTAAGATGCTGTGTAGTCATTTCTGAATCATAGCTACATACATATGGCCTGCCTTATCCACAGGGTCTGCTTCTGGGGATTCAACCAACCAGGTAAAAATACTCAACGGGAGGACGGGGGGAGAAGCAGTCAATGGTCAAAGCAATCCCTCAAAGGTTAAGGGGAAATATAGGTTACATTTAAGAGGCTATATACTCGACGGCACTTAATTAACAACAACAACAACAATAGGCTACTTATTATCATCATTAATTTCACTTGTGTATTTTTCCTTTTTTAAATGTAGCTACTAGAATGTTTTTCATTGTATATGTGGCTTATATTTCTACTGAACATTACTACTTTAGAGATTACATCAGTCTATAATTTTCTGTTTTAGTGATGTCCTTGCCTGGTTTTGATAGGAGGGTTATACTTGCATCATAAAATGTATTAAAAAGTTTTCCATCCTTTTCTATATGTTAGAGTTGTTGTTGTTGCTGTTGTGAAGTGCCGTCGAGTCGGTTCTGACCTATAGCAACCCTGTATAGGGTTTCCGAGGAACAACTGGTGAGCTTGAACTGCCGACATTGCAGTTCAAATGGTTTTGCAGTCTGACGCATTAACCCACAGCACCACACCAGGACTTCCATATAATCTGAGTAAAATTGGTGTGAGTTCATTGTTTCTGAAAATAAATCCGCTTTTGTTGTGATTGTTTCCCTAAATGGAATGTGTCACTTTTCCTCAGGCTCCTTTATTTTTCCATAGTTTGATTATGGTATCTACGGCAGGTTTTCTTTGTATTTACTCTGCTTGGGATCTCTGGGCCTCTTATATCCATGGGTTGATGTCTGACATCAGTTTTCAAAATTTCTTAACTTTTATCTCTTTAAATATTGCTTCTGCCATATTTTCTTTTTCTGTACTTCAGAGGCTCCAATTAAAATTGATTTTAGGAAAAGTCTGGTTTTTCACATGTCTTTCATAGTCTTCTTGGATTTTAATTCTTTTTTCCCTCTCTGATTCATTTTGGATAATTTCTATTGACATGTCTTTGAGTTCACTAATAATTTCTCTGACTTCTCCAGTGTACGGTAAAACCTAAAAACCTATACGGTGAATTACTAATTTCTGGTACTGTATTTTCCACTCTAGAATGTCCATTGAGTTCTTTTTCAGAGATTCCATTCTTTATTGAAATTCTCCATCTTTTCATTCAATTTTTAAACTTTCCCTTTAATTTTTTTAATGTATAAGGTGACTTCAAAACGTTCATGGAAAAATAAAATGAAAAGAAAATGGAATTTTTTCATGAGCTTTTTAAAGGCCACGAGTGTTTATTATACTTATTTGAAAGTTCTTGATTAAAAATCTCAACATCTGAGTCATTTGTAATTCCATTTTTTTTCCTGATTGTGAGTCACACATTCCTGCTTCATCATGTGTCTCATGACATTTTATCATATGCCTGACTGACATAGTCACTGAAGCCTTGTCTGATTTTCCTCCAGAGAGGGCACCTATTCTCTTCTATCCAACAACTAGAATAAGGGACTTATTACCTTGATCTTATTAGGAGTGAGGCTGAGTTGAAATTTCAGCTGATTTCAGTGTACCTCTGATTGCAGGGATCTTGTTGAGATATTAGGGTAGCAGGATTATCTAGCTTATCTGTTGGGAACCGTGGCATGGCGGGTTATGCAAGTTGAAAGTTTGTGGCAACCTTGAGTCAAGCACGTCTATAAGGGTCATTTTTCCAACAGCAGCACATGCTCACTTCATATCTCTGTGTTACGTTTTGGTAATTGTCACAGTTCTCAAACTTTTCATAATGCTACTGCATAAACCAGATAAACTAAAGCACAATAAAGCAAGGTATGCCTGTATTTGAGCAATTTCTGCTTTCCAGATTAATTTTTTTTTTTTTTAAGTTAACTGAATTTACTTTGTTAACTAAATGAGCACTTTCTATGTTAATGTGATATGGACTTAACTGTAGCTTTTTGCTTTTAGTTCGTGAAGTGACTGAGCCTCTGAATTTGAATCCAGCTAAGCGACCTCGTAGACAAGACTGGGATGGAGAATTATATGAAAATGGCTCATTTTATTTTGCTAAGAGACATTTGATAGAGATGGGTTACTTACAGGTTTGTACTTTTATTTTGCACAAAGGGTTCTAAAAGATTTTAAATACTTTTATGTGTTTAATTTGAGTTTTAGAAAGGGAAATATCAACCTGCAGAGAGAGAAAAGGCAGTCACTGACAAAATTTCTGATCTGAGGCATTTATTTACCCTGCAGTACTGTTCTTCGTAATCCATTCAATAAATATTATAGTAATTCTGCTACAAATGTAACACTAAGATAAAAAATGAGTCAAGTAGTAAATGTTCTACATTTATTCTGGTGTTGATATTTGTGTTGTTATTAAGTGCCGTGGAATCAGTTTCCACTCATAGCAACCCTGTATAGGTTTTCCAAGGAGCAGCTAGTGGATTTAGACTTTGTGATTCACAGTCCAGTGCTTATTTTACAACACAGCACCACACCAGAAGTCCTATTCATTCAAAAACTTTGTAATCCATGTTTGTATTACTGTTAAATTATAGATGTACAGTTGAATAACTTCTACTTGGTTTTAAAAGAGAAAAAAAAATGTAGTTTTTTTCTCTTCTTTTAAAAAAAGAGAAAACACCAACTTGAGTCAGGAAAAAACAGATTCTACCCCAACAATAAGGCCAGCCTATGGCATTATAGGATAAGCACTGGACTGCTAACCGGAAGACTAATAGTTCAAACCCACTAGCTACTCCTTGGAAACCCTATACAGGGTCATAGTAAGTCAGACCCTACCACATAGCACTTGACAACAACAACAATCCCAATTACAATTGTATACTTGAGTATACCATTTGATCTATCCTGAATTTCACTGCCCTCGTTTTAAAATAAGGGGTTTATCACCCCTCATCTTCAGAGTTCTATGAATTATCTGCATGGTTGTATCATATACCAATTATGTATTCAACACTTACTGTGTACCAAGGACTATATGAACACTTTGTGTAGGTCATTTCATGTAGTCCTCAGAACAGCTTAATGAAGTAGACATTTCTCAGTTTTAAAGATGAGGAAATTGCAACTCAAGGCAAAAATGGTTGGTAAATGGTATTGTCAGAATTTTAATTTAGGTTCTTATGTTATAAGAATAGCATTGAAAACAAAATAAAAAAATCACCACACTGGTAAAAAGTCTAATGTTATTCATGCTTAAGTAATAACTGGGGAAGGTGTTTTTTTTTGTTTTTGTTTTTTTCAATTTCCTGGTCAGTGTATATGATAGCACTGGTAGTGCTATAGGATAAGCACTGGACTGCTAACCAAAAGCAAAGTTCAAACCCATCAACCTGCTCTGCAGGCGAAAGATGAGACTTTGTGCTTTTGTAAAGATACACAATCTTGGTAACCCTATACAGAATTGCTATGAGTTAGCATTGACTCAGTGGCAGTGAGCTTGATTTTTGTGTTTTGGTCAGTGCATAAGAAAACTGCTGTTGCCGTTAAGTCAGGTCCAACTCACAGTGACCCTGTACAGAGTTTACAAGCAATAGCTGGTAGGTTTGAATTGTCAACCTCGTGGTTGGCAGTCCAGTCCTAATCCTATAGCGCCATACCAGGATTCTATAAGCAAATTATAGCTAGAAAAATTAGACTTGGCACATACAGATACCTACCTGTCCAGGTTCTTTTCTAAGGGGACTACAAGACTGTAATCTAAACTGTTCCTAAAGTGTGAAGAAAAATGAGGTTTTTCGTTATAACATTATTTGTGAAAAACTAGCAATTTTGGAAAATGAAATTTCTTGGTCATTTAAATAATATCTTTGCAAAGCCCTGTGTTGTTGCCCCCCCACTGCCCCAGGCTCAGGAGGCTGTTTTCCTTCTTTGGCTCATATATGACTCAGACAACAATTGTCCATTCCAACTCAATTCTCTATAATAGATGCTACAGCTACTTTTCCTTCCTATCTTACCTCTTCATTGCAAATTAGAAGAGAAGTTCCAAAAAAAATGGTTACAGTTAAGGAATTTTCATAAAATTCCTTGTGGTTAGAATACTGGAGGATAAGAAATATTTCTGCCTTATTCCATCTTAAAATAGAATTCTATTTAAAATGGGGATTACACTATAGCGATTTAAGTTTTAAGGTTCTTTGTTTTGTGTGGTTTGAATACTTGGGGAACAAAAATATTTCTCCTTCAAAGAGTTATGTTTTATGTCACTATATTCCTGGGGTTTTTTTTTCAGTACTGTGGGAAAAAAAATCATTGTTCTACAATAACATTTTAGTAATGTGTGGATGAATGCCCCAAACATACTCATGACATATTTATATTACCTTTAGGGTGGAAAAATGGCGTACTATGAAATGCGAGCTGAGCACAGTGTGGATATAGATGTGGATATTGATTGGCCTATTGCAGAACAAAGAGTATTACGGTAAGAAGACTTGTGCAGTCTCTACATTAGAGCCTAACATATTTTTAGCAGGAAGGTTTAATTGTACCAGAGGTGGGGAATGTCCAGCCCTGGGGCCATGTGAGGCCTGAGAAATCATTTGGTCTAGCTCTGCCAACGCAACCACAGGTCCAGCCATCACATTTTTGTTGTTAAGTGCCGTCGGTTCAGTTCTGATTTACAGTGATTCTGTGTAGCATTTCTGAGGATCGGCTGGTGGGTTTTAACTTCCGACCTTGTGGTCCACCATCACGTTGTTGTTGTTAAGTGCCGTTGAGTCGGTTCCGACCCATAGTGACCCTGTATGAGGTTCCCAAGGAGCAGCTGGTGGGCTTGAACCGCCAACCTTGTGGTTCAAACGAACTTTGCAATTCAGCGCATTAACCTGCAGAACCACATCAGAACTACACAATATTTAACCACATATAGCAAGCTAATTTTTAAGTTGATAGTTTTGTATGGTCCATGAATGATGTGAAAAGTTGGACAGAAAAAAGGTTCCCTATCCCTGATCTAGACACTGGTTTCTGATACTTTTAAAGATCTTAGGCTTTTTGGAATTAATTTGTACACATGGTAAAGGTATGTGAGTATACATAAAATATACCTTTAGATGGTTTATTCAATAACCCAAGAAACACAGAGTCTGAAATAGAGTACGGTACTTATACTTCTTATTCTATAAATTGAAATGCATATATGAAGTGAATTTGAGGAGTGATGTTAGAACAGTTTAATACAGAGTGGGCTGTTAGTTTTACTGGTGCGAGTCAAATGAGAGGGAGTGATTAGTGTTGCATTTGTATTTAAAGTCCATTTTGGTTTCTTTTAGATATGGCTATTTTGGCAAAGAGAAGCTTAAGGAGATAAAACTTTTGGTTTGCAATATTGATGGATGTCTCACCAATGGCCACATTTATGTATCAGGAGATCAAAAAGAAATAATATCTTATGATATAAAAGATGCTATTGGTATAAGTTTATTAAAGAAAAGTGGTATCGAGGTATGTGCCCCCTGAATACAGTATATTAGATGTTGTCTCAAGGACAAAGAGCATGGGAGGGAAATAAGGAATTTAAACATTCAGTAATAGCCATTCATCCGAAATTTAATCTTCAGGTGCCTAAACAGTTACCATACCTTTTACTTTCAGATGAGTATAATTAAAAATTTGACAATCAACAAATAATATCTTTTGTTTATTCAAGAAGTGTTAAATACTGTTTTTAAATAAGTGCTATCTAGTATGTCCCATGGGGCCATGCAACAAGTAAGGTTTCCTAGCTAATAGGTGTCAGTCAGCATTTAGCAAATGACAAATATCTTGTGTGTCTTTAAAATGTAAATAATTAAAAGTTTTAATTAAAAATTACTAAGTGCTTATGTGTATTTTTAAAAATGAAAGCTATGGTCATTTCTTATAATTCACTAGAAACCTTAACTGTGTGTTGATAAAGCAGCATAAGAGATAGTTGTTTTCTGGAAAAACTAAATACAGGGATGTCTTAGATAAATATAAGACAACGTATGTTATATTTTTTACCTGTAGGTAGAACCCTTTCCATTATAGAAAATTGTGTCTTTCACCTTTATTGGACTATTATAAATGAAACCTTTTTAAGCTTTATTATTCTAAAATGCCAATTAGTTGACTTAGTTTAACTGCTCCTTCAGAAGGTCAAAGGACTTCTAATTATGACTTATAATATTTACTAAGTTTTATTTTATTTAAGATGATTCCTACATCATTCACTTTCTGAATAATTCCTTTTTGTTTTTTTGTTTTAAGGTAAGGTTAATCTCAGAAAGGGCCTGTTCAAAGTCAACGCTCGCTGCCTTAAAACTGGATTGCAAAATGGAAGTCAACATATCAAACAAGCTATCAATTATAGATGAATGGAGAAAAGAAATGGGACTATGCTGGAAAGAAGTAGCTTATCTTGGTTGGTATCTTTTTATTTAGTCATAGGAAAATGGACTGGAAATATGTTTTTCAAATAGATAAATAAGAAAGAAATACCAAAGAATATGATTGTAGGGAAATAACCCTTGTATACTGCTGACAAAAATAATAAATTGGAAGAAGGTTAGAATACATGTAAAATAAATTTGAAGTAAATAGCATATTTGGAAATTCCCTTAAAATATTTTCCTCTTCCTCCCCACAAAAAAGCTATGGTTTAGGGAGGTGATAGAGAAAAACAATGATAAATGATAAACTTGGAATTCTTTCATATTTAATAGAACATTTTAAATAATTTAAATTTATTCATGGAATTTCTAGTAATTGTAATATATACAGCAACCAGAAAGTATAGTTCGTTCTACTCTGACAAGAGTGGGAAACACCCTAGACCTCAATTTTCAAATTCTTTAAAAAAATACTTTGAAGTATTTTTGTTCCATCTGGTCTTCAATGTTTATATGCAGTATCTTGTATCTTACTAGAGTTACCAGTTATTTATGGACTGCTGTCGGCATTGGAGTCTTGGTGTGGCACTGTAGAATAAGCACTGAAGCTCAGGGTCAATTTGAACCACAAAGTTGGTGGTTCAAACCCACCAGCCACTCCTCAGAAACCCTACACAGAGTTGCTATGAGTTAGAACCAACTCTATGGCATTTAACAACAAATAACAAGTTTGCATTATTTTCACTTTAAAGAATAGTCTTTGTCTTTTCAAATGTTTAATCAGAATTTCCCCTAATTGACAGGAAATGAAGTGTCCGATGAAGAGTGCTTGAAGAAAGCTGGTCTAAGTGGAGTTCCTGCTGATGCCTGTTCCACTGCCCAAAAGGCTGTTGGGTATATTTGCAAATGTAATGGTGGCCGTGGTGCCATTCGAGAGTTTGCAGAACACATTTTCCTACTAATGGAAAAAGTTAGTAACTCAAGCCAAAAATAAGCATTAGTTTAATGTTGGGAAAGGTACAAAGTCTCCTAAGCCACTCTGCTTTTCCTTTTGATGCTGTAATGTTACAGAGGGTGTGATTTGATTTGTGTTGTATCTTCCTATCTTTTAAAGAAAGTCTTCTCAACTTATCATTCCCAAACCTTAATCATTGTGCTCTACATTGCTCTTCATGCAAGACAGTTATTTAGAGATTGATTACAATCGTTCTCAGATTTTTAGTAAATACAAGTAAGAAATCATCAACATTGACTTTGTATTGTACTCTATCAAACTGTGTGTTTGTGTCGTTGTAATGCTGCTGGGATTTTATTTGATGACAGTATACTGATAGAACATGTCCTTCTATTAATTAATAAAATTGCATTTCTTAAACTAAATGAGAACTGCCTCATGATAATAGAAGAGGTTTATAAAGCATTTCCTTAAATAGTGTACATATTGGCCATTCAGTCAGAGTGAGAAACAAACCACAGGAGGTTATGCTTTCTGTATGTATGAACATAACACTTTATGCAAATACTGAATCACTTTCAGAATTTTCCAGTGAATCTGTGCTGACTACAGAATAAGGTAAAGCATTCCCCAGTCCAGATGTTTTATTCTGGACACAATGTAATATTTCCAGCATTTGTTCTTTCAATTACTGTGCAGATTACACTACCCCAATAAACTTATTCAATGCAATTCTCCATACTCATACACTCCTGGTGTGGCACTATAGGATCAGCCCTGCATTGCAAACCACAGGGTTAGTGGTTCAAACCCACCAGCTGCTCCTCGGAAACCCTAGACAGTGTCACTGTGAGTTGGAACTGATTTGATGGCATTTAACAGCAATAATGCAAATTCTCTAGCACAGTAGCTTTCCTCAGTATCAGTGGAATTTCTCCTTAGTATGCTTTTGTTAGTGTCTTCTAGGTCCTACCATTAATTTTCAGCATGCATCATTCATTGCTCCAAAAAAATTCCTCTACCAATGTACCTCCTTAAGTAATTACTATAAGTATAGATTATACTGTAGTTCTTACTTAAGTGGCCCAAATACAAGTAATTAATACAAGACAGTTCAGTCCTCAGTGCTGCTTCTAATACCTGTTTCCCAGTAGTAGAGAATCTTAGTTAAGAAAATAAAATATGTGGATGTTCGGCTCTGAACAGAAGTTGTCGCACCTGCCTTTACAACAAGAAAAACTAGACAAAATGAACATAATTAATCTTAGGCCCATCAGAAAACTGAGGGCTCAGGATAAACAGTTACCCCAAAGCCTAGAGAAAAACAATTTCCCCTCTTCCACACCATGCATCAAACCCCAAAACTTCCAGTATAATGTTGCTATTGTTAAGTGTCATCGTGTCGGTTCTAACTCATAGCCACCCTGTATAGGGTTTCCAAGGAGCAGCTCGTGGGTTTGAACCACCAGTATTGTAGCTAGCAATCCAGTACTCATCCTACAGCACCATGATAGTGGGTGATAATTGAAAAAGGTAAAAGGCACAGATATTCTCTAAGGAGCAATACAAAAGGAAGCTCAAAAGATACTGTTGTTCTTAGGTGCTGTCAAGTAGACCCTATGCACAGTAGAATGAAACACTGCCCAGTTGTGTGCCATACTCACAACTGTACGCTTGACCCATTGCTGCTGTCACTGTGCCAGCCCATCACGGGGTCTACCTCTTTTTCACTGGCCTCCACTTTACCAAGCATGGTGTACTTCTCCAGGGACTGGACTCGCCTGGTAATATTGGACATATTATGACATAGTATGAGAGACAAAGTCTTGCCATCATGACTTCTAAGGAACATTCTGGCTGTCCTTCTTCCAATTTGTTTGCTCTTCTGACAGTCCAAGGTACTTTTAATAATCTTCTCCAGCACCCTACCTCAAATGTATCAATTCTTCTATTGTCTTCCTTATTCACTAACTTTCACATGCATATGAAGCTATTGAAAATACCATGGCTTGGGTTAGGTGTACCTTAGTCCACAAATTGCCATATTAGCTCTTGAACACTTTTAAAGAGGCCCTGTGCAGCACATTTGCCTAATGCACTGCACCGTTGGATTTTTTGACTGCTGCTCCCATGAGTGTTGATAGTGGTTCCAAGAAAAATGAAGTCTTTGGAAAACTGAATCTTCTTTCCATTTATTATGATGTGACTTATTGGTCCAGTGGTGAGGATTTTTGTTTTCTTTACGTTGAAGTGCAGCCCATACTGAAGTCTTTGATCTTCATCAGTATTTTAAGTCCTTTTCACTTTCAGCAAGCAACATTATATCATCTACATATCGCAGTTATTTAATAACTGATGCCATGTTTTTCTTCATATGATCCAGCTTCTTGGATTATTTGCTCACCAGAAAGATTAAGTAAGTATGGCGAAAGAATACAGTCCTGGTACATACATTTCCTGATTTTAAACTATTCAGTGTTTCCTTGTTCTATTCGAGCCACTGCCTCTTGATGTGTGTATAGGTCATGAGTACAAGGAAGTGTTCTAGAATACCCATTTTCCGCAATGTTGTCCATATGCCATGTCATGATCCACACGTTGAAAGCCTTTGTAGAGTCAATAGGTAAGCATCTTTCTGGTATTCTCTGCTTTCAGCCAATAGGCATCTGATGTCAGCAGTGATACAGTAGAGAAATCTTGTATCTCTGGCACTTACAGAAGGAACCTCAGTGGCACAATAGTTAAGTGCTTGACTGCTAGCCAGAAGATCAGTGGTTTGAACCCAGCAGCCACTCCATGGGAGAAAAATATGGCAGTCAGCTTTTATAAAGTTTTATAACCTTGGAAACCCTATAGGACATCTATAAGTTGAAACAACTCTATAGCGATGGGTCTGTTGGGTTTTAGCACTTAACATCTAGAGTAGATGTTAAATACAGCTCAGCTTTTAGGAATATTAACAGAAAGCTTTGTACTAGAGCTCATTAGTTCAGTGCCTACAACACATGTTTGATGTTGAAAAGAAAAGTGTAAGCCACGCGTAAAGGCAAGAAAAAATGCAGTCTGAAAGACCAATCACCAGAACCAGACTTAAATATGACTTTGATGTTCATATTATGAGATCAGACAAGGAATTTAAACCTCTTATATATGCTTTTACGTTCTGTGGTTTCAGATACCTGCAGTGAACCACAGTCTGAAAAAATTAAATGGAAAATCCCAGAGATAAGCAATTCATACATTTTAAATTGTGTGTCATTTTGAGTAATACTATGAAATCTCACACTGTCCTACCCAGGATGTGCCTTTATCTAGTGTATCCATGCTATATATGCTTCCCTTCCATTAGTCACAGATAGCTGTCTCAGCTATCAGATTGACTGTCTTGGTAGCACAATGCAGGTCTGCAAGTAACTTATTTTACTTAATAATTGCTCTATTATTAGTTATTGTTAATCTCTTACTGTGCCCAATTTATAAGTTAAACATCTAGGTATGTAGGTATAGGAAAAAACATAACATATATAGGGTTTGGTGCTATCCATGTTATCAGGTATCCACTGGGAGGGGTCCTGGAATGTATCGCCCATGGATAGATTGAGACTATTGTATTTATGCAGAGTACTGGTGTGGTGCTGTGGATTAATGCGCTGGACTACAAGGTCGGTTTGAACTGCAAAGTCAGTGGTTCAAGCTCATCAGCTGCTCCTTGGAAACCCTATACTATGGATGCTATGACTCAGAGCCATCTTGATGACACTTACCAACTGTGTACAGTAGTATAGAAAAAGTACTTAAATGTGCAAGCCCAGGTAGGTAATGCCAGCAGAGAGAAGGAAACAATTAGAATAAAAATAAAATGCTAAAAAAATCAAAGACACAGAAACAAAGAATGCTTTTGATGGGTACATTAAGTCGGCTCAAAACAGTTGAGCAAAAAACAAGTGAACTTGAAGGTAGGCCAGTAAAAAGTTCCAGAACTGAAACCCAGAAAATAAAACTGAACAACTTAAAAAAACAAAACAAAACCAAACTCAGAACATTATCCAAGAAGTGTGGGCAACATCACAATTTGTAGCATATATATAATTGGGATGTAGCATATATGTAATTGGGATACCAAAAATAGAAAACAAGGCAGAAAAAACTTTTTTTTTTTAAAGTAGTAACAGCCAAGCATTTCCCAAAAGTAATGATAAGCACCAAACCACAAATCCAGGAAGCTCAGAGAATATCAAATATCAAAGGATTAGGGAAGAATTACTCTGAGGCAAATAATCAGAGACCACATCATACAGTCTAATGCATTGTATTAAAGAACTTTAACTTCATTCAAAGAGTAAGGATGGAAAGACACTGTCAAGGGCTTGAAGCAGGAAAAGCTTTTCAGGAAGAGGTAAAATTTGAGCTGGGTCTTGAGGACTGGAAAATTTCACTGATGTCAAAGAATCATACTAGAGAATTGGGGTTAACATGCTCAGAGACCGGGAAAGGTGTACTGTGGCCAGCAATGATAGGCTCTTGAATGGGTGGGATCCTTTTTTCTGCCAAAATTTTCTTCTAGTTAGTTCATCTGCTTCCTCATCTCTTCCATTCATTTTAACTTCTCTATGCTCAAAGTGTAGGAATCTTGGTGTGGTGCTGTAGGATAATGCACTGGACTACAAGGTCGGTTTGAACAGCAAGATCGGCTGTTCAAATTAGCCTGCTAGTAATCATTGCAATGAGACGAAATACGAAGAATGCAACACCAATGTTCTCCCATGTAAACTATCAATTAATAATGAAAGCTTAAAAAGTAGTGTGCTATATTTGGTCAAAATTTAACTCACCTCTAATGTGTCACTGCTAGCGTAGTGGTTATGAATCGGGCTGCAAACTGCAAGGTCAGTAGTTCGAAACTACCAGCTGCTCCGCCGGAGAAAGATGAGGCTTTCTGCTCCTGTAAACATTTTCAGCCTTGGAAACCCTGTTCAGGATCGTTATGGGTCGGAACCTACTTGACGGCACTTAACAACAACAACAATATGTCAAACAATGAACTCACCTCTAAGGAGTTCTGGTAGCGCAAGGTAGCGTAGTGGTTAC